ACAACTTGCGCTGCTATTGTTGAGTGTATCGTTCAATTTGTTAGATATTTGTCGATATATGAATGCTATAAGAAGTATAGCTATTTTTGGCACAAATAAGTAATAATATATAAGAATTAGAAAAATAGTGCGAAATAGTTATTGAATTTTTGTGTTCAAACTAGCGTTGCCAGAAGTACATGAATTCCTGTAAAATACAAGGATTTGGAAATATTTGAAAAGTAAAAAAAGTTGTCATTCCTGTACATTGAAAAGTACAATATGTAAATATTTAGGAATAAAGATGTACATGTAATTTTGAAAAACTATTATTGGCATATTATCAATGAGTTATAGCGACTCGTTCACATTTACATTGCTTTATAAAACTAGATATTATTGATTGAAAAACTATCATTTTTGATTGCCTATAGTTCTGGTGCCACTTAAATTTAAGGCACTTAGTGCCGATAGAGTTTGTGCAAGCATGTTATATGTCACATGCACAAATTTTAAACGAGTAATCTCGTTGTTTTATTTATATGTATTTTTAAATATAACGACACGTACTTAAATATTAGTTTCCTTTAATTATAGTTAAAACTGTCAAAACTACTGAACCAAACGGTTCAGTTCCGGGACAGTCAGAAATATTGCTATATATGCATAAATTAAATTAAGTGTTATTTTATTTTAATGTAATTACAAGATTCAATAAAACGTGTTTTTATTGTTGCCTTTGTTTAATAAATTGTTTGTTTAAAAAATGGTAATTATAAATCTATTACAAAAGTATGATATTCTATAATCATGTATGAGTGTTAAGATAAAAAATTCTGGTACAGGAAACTACAGAAATTTTTGGAAAATGTTCAAATTTATACAGGAAAAATTATTTTCTGGCAACACTACTTCAAACACTCCTCTAAATGTGTTAAGAGAAAAAATAATAACAGAAAATAATTGCTTTTTTGGTCTAACTTTTATGTTATAAGAAATATGAGATGGTTTTCAAACTCAAATAGAACCACGATTTCCACACAAACTTTTCAAAGTATATTTGTAATTAATAATTGTATTTAATTTTAATAATTATGCTAAAATTTTTAGTATGCATATTAATAGTCAGTCAAAAAATTACAATTCACAAGATAAATGTAGTTCTAGAGATAAGATAAAAATAAATTTTAATAAGATTTAAAAAATATACCTAAAATATTGACCAGAAGAAAAAGTACAACAATGAGTGCATTGTAATCCAAATAAAACCAATTAATGATATGTGAAATATATAGTTTGGCACTTAATATATAATAATTATTAGTATAAAACACATTTAATTGATCACAGATAACACCCTTATAACCATCCATACATTCACATATATAGTATTCATTTTGATGACTTTGATTATTATTTGCATTTATTAAATTGTCATTTTGTTCATTAATAATAATATTATTATTTTGATCTGAATTAATTAGTAGCACACAAGCGGCTCCATTATAACACCTGAGACCATCATTACAAACATTATAATTGATATTAATACTTATGCTAACAAAAACAGTATCAATGAAAGCATCACTACTGTTGCCAATAACTGTTAAATCACTTACAGTTACATTAAATTCATAGATCTTATCTTTTATATCTTTTAAGTCTTTAATTAAAATAATTGAACAAATATTGCTTTGATTACAATGTAATGAAAATATATCAAAAATATTGGAATTAGAATTTAAATCATATTGATTATGGTTAGTGTCGGGATTATCTCTATCTATGATTGGTATATAAAATAGTATTGAATTGACTTTAAAGTTGTCGACAATTTGAATGCTATAATTAGATTGTGTGAAATGAGGTGTGTTGTCATTGATATCAAGTATATCAATAATGACAGTAGTGCTGGTCTTCAACCCCCCGCTGTCAACGGCAGCTATTTGTAGTGCATATTGCGAGACATCTTCTCTATCCAAACAACACATCGAAGCACTTATAACACCCGTACGCGAGTCCACAGCAAATATAACATTTCCGTCGGCCGTTAAAAAATGTCCGTCAATTAAATAACGAATTTTGTTGTTTCCATTAACAACACTATCATAATCAGTAGCCGTCACTTGAGTTACAATAACATCTGTTTGGGAACCATTCAAACAACAAAACATGTATTACATTAACAATTATTATCTGTTTATGTGTTGTCACATTTCAATAATTTTACGTCAAGCCAAATAATTAAACAAGAAAGGTATACCCAGCTCAGAAATACTGACTTTTTAAAATTTAAAATATATTGACACTTTCAACTAATTTATACGCAACTGTACTGTCAATACGTTTAGTAAAGTATATTTTTAGCTTTATATTTAACTATTGTATTTCAATACTAAATAGTATGTATTGAGAACAACAGTTATTTTATGAGACTAATAGTTACAGTTTAGTTGTTAATCTATAATTTTATTTAAATAAAAAAATTAAACAAATTATTTTTTATTATTGTATGTATAAAAAAAATAATTATAATTTACTATTAATAATCAAAGTATTATACAAATTAAATTGCATATAAAATTATGATTATTATTTGCATAAAATGATAAAATGTGATAAAATGTGATAAAATGTTGAATACCTTTTGGAGAGTTTTCATAAATGGATGCGTGATATGGATTGTTGTGAAAGAAAGGCGTGTTATCATTGATGTCGAGAACATTGATGACGACATCGGCGTAACCGAAAGGTTGGGCTGAATGGCTGTGTTTGGCCAGAATAGAGAAGCGCCATTTGGATCTACCGAAGGGAGCATCTCTATCAAGTGGTGTTATTAAATAGAGTTCACCAGAAGTTGCATTGAGTTTAAATTTACGATTCAAATCCAAGTGATCGTAAGAAGTGGTGTTTAGAAAATATGTTACATTTGCATCGCTCTCATTGCTTCCCACTTTGATTAATAACTTTGGGATATCACTGTCCTCTTCTACAATGTCTATCATATGGACCTTTATATTGAAGTGACATTTTAATTATAATTATTACTTCAATAATTACTATAATTATAATTAATTTATACAAAGAAGAAAGAATATTTAATATAATTTATGTTCTTATTATACGTAGCGATAGAATCGAGATAAACTAATTATAATAATAGGAATAATAATTAATTTAATTATTTAAATTAAATATAGCAAGTTAATAACTAAAACTACTATGACAATTTATAATTAAGAAATTTGCGAATTAAACTTAACAAATAGAATGAGATCCTCATAACATACAAATTGATTGATTTGATGAAATTGTTTGTTCATATAATTAGAATTGGTTTCATCAGTGCTTTGAATTTGATTGTTGGGAATAAAGTGATGACGAATTGGCGAAAAGTAAGTGTCAGGCGCTGAGGAATATTCAGACCAATCTTTGGCAGTGATATTATTTGTTCGCTCCAATTGTTTTGCAAAAGAGTTATCAATTTTTCCAGACAGACCTTCTCCTCCATGTGTTTCACTGCTATTCTCCACAATCTCTTGACTCGCATTAGTATTATATAAATGCTTGTGCCTATCGGTGCCATCACCGGCATGTGTGCCTCTTCTTGCAATCATATCATGCGTGAAATCGAAGCCCATCTTTATGTCTGCATTTCAAATCATATATTCTTATGATATAAAAACTATTTCTATTATAATCACAATAATATTAATGACAAAAATTTTACAAATCTTAATTTACTTTTTAAAATTACAATTTTGTTGTAAGTTTTCAAGAAAATATACCATTAAAATTTACACATAAATAAAGATTACACTATATGTATGGGAAACAAAAGAAACATGTAATGTATTTTTTGAAAATTGAAAATCAAATGGATTTCGTCTCTTAATCTATTTTCTATAATATCTATAGAAATAAGATTTAAAACATAAGATTTGTTTGAATGTCAAATAGAAACCAAATGACAAAGACTTTCAGATTATTTATGTTTACTCTTATATAAGTACTCTCTCTCTCTCTCTCTCTCTCTCTTTTGACCGATCTTGATAAAACTTGGATTCTGGTGCCTAAGAATGTAAACTTAAATTATAAAAGTAATTTCATAATTTTAGCTACACTACAAAATAGGTAGTCTAATAGGTTTCCAATTCTCCTAATAGTTAAATATAAAGCTAAAAATATACTTTACTATAAAACGTATTGACAGTACAGTTGCGTATAAATTAGTTGAACTTGTTTGAATTATTTGACTAAAAGCGCTGAAATAGTTGAAAGTGTCAATATATTTTTAATTTTAAAAAGTCAGTATTTTTGAGCTGGGTATACCTTTCTTGTTTAATTATTTGGTTTGACGTAGCATTATTGAAATGTGACAACACATAAACAGATAATAATAATTATTAACAATTATTGTTAATGTAATACATGTTTTGTTGTTTGAATGGTTCCCAAACAGATGTTATTATAACTCAAGTGACGGCTACTGATTATGATAGTGTTGTTAATGGAAACAACAAAATTCGTTATTTAATTGACGGACATATTTTAACGGCTGACGGAAATGTTATATTTGCTGTGGACTCGCGTACGGGTGTTATAAGTGCTTCGGTGTGTTGTTTGGATAGAGAAGATGTCTCGCAATATGCACTACAAATAACTGCCGTTGACAGCGGGGGGTTGAAGACCAGCACTACTGTCATTATTGATATACTTGATATCAATGACAACACACCTCATTTCACACAATCTAATTATAGCGTTCAAATTGTCGACAACTTTAAAGTCAATTCAATACTATTTTATATACCAATCATAGATAGGGATAATGCCGACACTAACCATAATCAATATGATTTAAAATCTAATTCCAATATTTTTGATATATTTTCATTACATTGTAATCAAAGCAATATTTGTTCAATTATTTTAATTAAAGACTTAAAAGATATAAAATATAAGATCTATGAATTTAATGTAACTGTTAGTGATTTAACAGTAATTGGCAACAGTAGTGATGCTTTCATTGATACCGTTTTTGTTAGCATAAGTATTATTATAAATTATAATGTTTGTAATGATGGTCTCAGGTGTTATAATGGAGCCGCTTGTGTGTTACTAATTAATTCAGATCAAAATAATAATATTATTATTAATGAACAAAATGACAATTTAATAAATGCAAATAATAATCAAAGTCATCAAAATGAAAACTATATATGTGAATGTATGGATGGTTATAAGGGTGTTATTTGTGATCAATTAAATGTGTTTTATACTAATAATTATTATATATTAAGTGCCAAACTATATATTTCACATATAATTAATTGGTTTTATTTGGATTACAATGCAGTCATTGTTGTACTTTTTCTTCTGGTCAATATTTTAGGTATATATTTTAAATCTTATTAAAATATATTTTTATCTTATCACTAGAACTACATTTATCTTGTGATATTTCATTTTTTTACTGACTATTAATATGCATACTTAAAATTTTAGCATAATTATTAAAATTAAATACAATTATTAATTACAAATATACTTTGAAAATTTTGTGTGGAAATCGTGGTTCCATTTGAGTTTGAAAAACCATCTCATATTTCTTATAACATAAAAGTTAGACCAAAAAAGCAATTATTTTCTGTTATTATTTCTTCTCTTAACACACTTAGAGGAGTGTTTGAAGCAGTGTTGCCAGAAAATAATTTTTCCTGTGTAAATTTGAACATTTTCCAAAAATTTCTGTAGTTTCCTGTACCAGAATTTTTTTTATCTATTTATCTATCTACTCATACATTATTATAAAATATCATATTTTTGTAATAGATTTATAATTACCATTTTTTAAACAAACAATTTATTAAACAAAGGCAACAATAAAAACACGTTTTATTGAATCTTGTAATTACATTAAAATAAAATAACACTTAATTTAATTTAATTTATGCATATATAGCAATATTTCTGACTGTCCCGGAACTGAACCGCACCGTTTAGTTCAGTAGTTTTGACAGTTTTAACTATAATTAAAGGAAACTAATTAATATTTAAGTACGTGTTGTTATATTTAAAAATACATATAAATAAAACAACGAGATTACTCGTTTAAAATTTGTGCATGTAACATATAACATGCCTGCACAAACTATATCGACACTAAGTGCCTTAAATTTAAGTGGCACCAAAACTATAGGCAATCAAAACTGGTAGTTTTTCAATCAATAATATCTACAGTAGTTTTATAAAGCAATGTAAATGTGAACGACGTCTTTATAACTCATCGATAATATGCCAATAATAGTTTCTCAAAATCACATGTACAGCTTTATTCCTAAATATTTACATATAGTACTTTTCAATGTACAGGAATGACAACTTTTCAAATATTCCCAAATCCTTGTATTTTACAGGAATTCATGTACTTCTGGCAACGCTAGTTTGAACACAAAAATTCAATAACTATTTCGCATATAAAAAGATTAAGAATATATAATAATGAATAAACACGGTTTTTATCGATATGAAGAATATCGTAAGTATATAGCTGTTTATAGATTGTTTAACTTGCTATGTGAGTTGTTATCGTCGCGTTCAACAAGCAGACAAGAGCCCTGTAATAATAATAGCGGATTAAATCCATTATCTTCTACATCAATGGCTGCCATTAATAACTCATTAACGGATGTCCATAACGTTTGCACCATTAATACAAATGGAGATGGAGTTGAACAACAAATTCATAACGAGATGACAGCTATTTCAGTGCCATTTCGTACAAATTATTGCGATACTGTAGGGACTGAAG